AAGAATGTCATGATTCTGAGGGTCATTTTGGTTTCCAAAAAACATATGCTGAAGTCAGAGAACGTTTCGAATGGAAGGGACTTAAAGAAGATGTACTAACATATGTTCGTACCTGTTTAGTGTGTCAGAGAAACAAGTCGTCGCATGAGAATCCCCTCGGACTTCTCAAGCCATTACCTATACCAAGTGAACCAGGTGAGTCTATCTCAATTGACTTCATGAGTCTGGTTAAAAGTCGCAATGGTAATAGTCAAGTGATGGTAATTGTAGACCGTTTCTCTAAACACGCTATGTTTGTTCCCTTACCAACAGAAGCGCGTACTGAACTTGTCATTCAAAAATTTCAGATGCGATGTGTCACTGAATATGGGTTCCCTAAAACCATTGTGTCCGATCGAGATGTCAGGTTCACCAGTCTGCCATGGCAAAAGCTAATGGAAGCTTATGGCACACGGCTGACCATGTCGTCAGGGACGCATCCCGAAACGAATGGCCAGACTGAACGAATGAACCATCTGTGCCAGCAACTTTTACGTATATATTAGACCCGATCAGATTGATTGGGACGAGAACTTACCTAAAATTGCGAGTGCATATAACAATAGTGTCCACACTTCTATTGGACGAACCCCAAATGCACTTCACAAAGGGTGGAAGCCTAAACGTCCCATTGATGTACTAAATCGGGACCAGTTCCTTAGGTTGCCCCCAGGGACCCGAGAATACACAATTTTGTTTCAGGAGGACATTCAGAAAGTTAAAGATAATCTAAGGAAAACTCAACTACGGATGATTGAACAAGCCAACAAGCACCGTCGACCGTCTACATTCAAAGCGGGTGATTTGGTTTGGGTAAAATCTAAAGAGTTTTCACTAGAAGAAGATGTGTCCCAGAAATCGCTACCTATCTATTTTGGATCCTGGGAAGTTCTCAAGGTAATTGGAGATGCAGAGGGACCGTCTTATCGAGTCGATATTCCCCCTCATCTCAAAACATATCTTGTCTTTCATACGTCCAAATTGTTGCCTTACGTAGAAGGAAATGAGTTTCCACACAGACCCTCTATGATTCCACCAGACATGGATGGCGGATACGAGGTTGACAGGATCATAGAGCATGGTTACTTCTCTACGGGAGGACGTGGACGACCCCAGAAGCAGTTCAAGGTACGTTTTAAAACTCAAGCACCATCTGAGGACAGATGGTTTAGTAAACGAGAACTACTCGAAACTGCTCCTGATATTGTCGCTGCTTATGAACGAGGGTTAAAGTCTTAAATATTTTTGCGGTGGAACTCGAAAATGGGCCGGCACGAATGTAATAACCCTGTTCAGAAGTAGCCTGGGGCTCATAACTCAGCCCCAGGCCACGCAGACCTGAGTAGGTATGAGCTGGGTTGTGTGACCTAGACACGCCCAGGCCTGAGTTTGTCGAGTGTGGCTGTGTGACCGAACGCTGCACACAGGAAATTCAAGAGTCAAAGTCAACTGTAGAGTCAAAGGTACCGCACCCA